GGGGGGAGGGGCGGCCGGCCGTGAGGTCCTCTGGGAATTGTAGTATAGCCGAGGTCCAGTACTCTTGGAAGAGCCGGCGGGAAAGAGGTGTGGGAGGTCAGGCCTTCCGCTGTGGCTCCTCCCTTCCCGCTAGGTGGCGGTGCACGTGGACATCTGCCTGAGAATTTTCCTTCTATCACGCAATAGTGACCGCCCTTCAGGTTTAGGTTTCGATTAAATAAAATTTAGAGAGGTTTGCTCAGAAATGGCGAAGCCATGTGAAAGAAATGATAACGGCCCGTAATTACTTCCCGCGTGTGCTGCTCATCGGACGTTTTGTGAGGTTACAAAGAAGCATGGCGCTGAGTACGAGGGGGATAAGTTTGATGTCAAGACTTTTCTCGGGAGGTAACTTCCTCCTTTCAGGAGCGTTACCTGGTCTGCCAGGTGTTCTCATTGGATCCGGCATGGCCCTTCAACCCAGCCTTAGCCTTATTTCTGTCTTCAAGGACGCTCTGTCTGGTAAACATGAGGGGCGGGTCGTTCTCATTTTACCGAGGGGAAATTCAGAGTGGGATGGCTAAAGAGTTGTTGAGCTTTTGGGGCTATACAGCTGTAAGTGTAGTTAGAACTCATTCTGATTCTTGTCTCAGACCTGACCTGTATACTTCGTGAGGTGTTAGTCTCCTCAAGTTTTCTGTTACTTCCTGAGTTCGAGCCTTGATCACTGTGGCTGTTCTGACAGTTTTATATACATACAGTACCTATCGAAAGTGCGAGCACATTTCTAGACATTGTGATGAATGCTGAGGACATGGTTTTGAATGGGAGCAGACATGACCCCACCCCTCATGGAGTTTAGTTTATTAGGGAAGACAGATACTGATTACATCATACAAATAATACAGTGTCAAATTGTAATAATAATAATAATAATAAAGAAACAGGACACTTCAAGAGAGAATAATGGAGGGGAACACACATTAGACTGAGAAATTACGGAAAAAGAAATGCTTGATCTGAGACCCGAAGGCTTAGAAAACGGAACATCTGTAACAGCCAAGAGAAAAGTGGTCCAGGCAGAAGGAACAGTAGTAATGGCTGTGAGTGGGAAAGAGCTTGATATTTTGTTATTCAAAGAACTCGTGAGATGTCCTTTGGGACCACAGCACAGTAAGGAAAGGAGAGAATGGACCGAATAGAGTCTAGCCTCATTTTTTCCAGCCCTGCAACTTCTAAACTACTCCCACACTGGCAATATAGAAAAAATTTCAATACTCAAATATGACAACCTTACTCCCTTTGGAACTTTGTGTCCACTACAAATTTTAGTTCAAATTCTTCATTACAGTTCTGTTTTTTTTTTTTTTTTTTTTGGTACCGGGGATCAAACTCAGGTTCTTGCACTTGTGAGTCAGACAGCAGAACCACTGAGCTAAATCCCCAGCCCTTCATTCCAGTTATTAAGAATCTTCCTAACTGGATTTATCCTGCTTTCCAGCCTTCCCTTTTTGACGTGTACTTTTACCTCTCCTGGGCATGCCCTATCTTCTGTGCTTGCAGGCTAACTTCTACGTACCTGTCTTGGCTGAAATATCACCTCCTGTGTGTCCTTCTCCCTGTGCACTCTTAATTAACTTATGGTCCCTCTAGTATGTAATTACCGCTTTGAATACCAATCTTTCCCATGAGGCAGTGAGCTCCTCCTTTCAGGGACTTGTCTTCTATTTCTGAATGATGCAGAACACGAAGCCAGGCAGTTGGAATTTCCATAATAAATATCTATAGAGAAGATGATTAGAGAAGCTAGCCATAACTAACTTGATGAGAAAGTGACCCGTGGCTCCTATCCACAGCAGAGTGGAGATTAGCGTACAAAAGAGTGAAAAAGTGGGCCTGGGAGTATAGTTCAGTGGCAGAGTGCCTGCCTGGCATTCGTGGGGGGCTGGGTTCTATCCCCAGCGTGGGGATTGGGAAGAGGGAGAAGAGATGAGTAACAAATCCACACTGATACATGCTTATCATGGGCCAGATACTGTGTTATCCATTGTATCATTTAATCCTCATGACAATTGTGATCTTTGCTTCTTTTTGCTAGCAAGAAAACTGGTACCCAAGGCTTGACCAAAAAGCACTCAGTTAGTAATGGGAAACCTGGGATAGGAATCTAGGTCTTTCTGACCTCAAAGCTTGAGTCTCCTATTGTTTCCTCTGTTCCCCTTGCTCCCATTTTAACACCTTTTGCCAGCACAGAAGCCTGAAAAGTTTAAGGAACTGAACTCCAAATGTCCTCTATTTTTGGTATGTCACATACCTCTGGTATGTCGCGTACCTCTGAGGACATCGGCCTGGAACAGTCTTTATATAGGGGATCTGCCTTTTCCAGAACCATGACTCATATCAGTCTCTGCTTAAATCAGTCTCTGTAGGGCCTGGAAGATCGCATAGAACACAGGGAAGCAGAAAATCCAAGAAGGAGCTTTTGGCTAGTACTGTCCAAAAGAACTCTCTGAGAAGATTAAATATTCTCTCTCTATGCTGTCCAATATGGTGAAGTCTCAAGATTCTATTTAAGACAGTATTTCCAACCGTCTCAGTGGTCTCTGACTCCAGGATGTTTCCAAGACATTCAGTCTGAGACTACAAACCTGCAGGCTAGGTCTTCAAGGACTCTCCAGATCCAGGCTGTGCTCAGCTGTAGGAAGATCTGTGCTCAAAAATACACATCAGGATACAGACAGATGGAATGCATATGCTTAGGAGATGGTCTGCGTTGTTGATAGTGCCACCCCAGCATCCTGCTCAGAACTTTTCCCAGAACAGGTACTATGTTAACATGGTGTGAATGAACTTACCTTTTCTCTCCCAGCCTAGTGCTCTCTTCACCTACTGTGATTGGCTTCTAGAAACGTTCCCTAGCATTTCAAACCGATAGCTTTTGGCAGGCAGTGAAGATTAATGAAACCACACCTTCATAACCATTATCTCCAGTTTGCATTTTTTGGGGGAAGGAGTATCAAGGGGAAGTTGTAAAACCAGTGAGTAATAATCTATTGGAAACATGCTGCATCTAGCATTTAAAAATGATTTTTATTTTGAAACATTGTGTACAAAATGGAACCCCAAAAGAGCATCTGCTACATATGATTAGTGGTGCTAGAGAAGGAGGACTGGCCCAAGAGTCATCCTGGACCTCTAACCAACAGGCTGTATGACCTTTGACATTGTGTTCCATGACTTTGTGTCTCAGTTGGAACTCATGAGTTCAATGAAACATTAGACTCTAAGTTTTTTTTTTTATATAGTTAAAGCAAGTATTTAAAAACTAATGATTCACATTTGCAGTCAATTCCTATTAAGCAACTTTCAGATGATCATTTGGTTGAATCTGACCTATTTTCATTGTTTACTCTTTCTAACACCTTTCACCTAATCCTTCCACTACCAGTGCCTTCCTCACTTGGAAGATATTCACTCCTTTTTGGCTATTTCTTCAAATTCTAATAAATTATCTTGGATTCCAGTCATTCAGTCACCTGCTCTTTGGCCCAGCCGGATTCCGTTTAATTCTCAGCAGTCTCAACTCCTGAGCATAGCACAGAGAGGATTCCTGGTCTTTTTCCATACCCCTCACCCAGTACTCCCAGCCTTCCCAACACAAACACAACTGAAGAATCAAGATTTGTATTCTGGCAGTTGTTTCTCGCACCACTAGATGGCACATGTGCTGCAGGTCATCAGGCTTTTTTGGCAAAAACTTCAGGCATTAAAAACTCCACAAAAGCTAATTCAAATTCACAAAAGCTTTGATAGGAATTATAAAAGCACAAAATGTACAAAAGAATGAGATAAAAAGTTGAAGGAATTGGAGAAAATAGAAAACCAGTAAAAGAAGTAACTTCGGATGGCATTAGCTTTAGAACAATGCCAGCAGGGGCTCACACACTTGGCTCCCAAGTTTCTGAACAGCAGAAGAGGGAAATTCAAGTGGAACAGAATTCCAGACTTTCTACTGGAAAAACAAAGTACTAATTTAGTAGAAGCTCAACTTTTCTTGACCCTGAGACTAGAAAGAAATTTTTCCTGAGGGTCCCCTGATTGAACAATGCTATGAAAACAGCAATGAAGTAAGTGGAGTAATTTCTTATGATGTCCTTCTATTCTGTCTGTGGCATGATGCTGAAGTACAATTGAGGATAATCAAGCGTTTTTTTAAATGGAAACATAGCATTTGTAGTTTTTTATGGGCCACAGTTGGATAATCCAATACATGTAAATAATGGGTAATGATCAGGTCAGGGTAATAAGCACTCCTATGTCTTCAAATATTAATAGTGTCTATGTGTTGGGAACTTTTGTACTTTTTTTTCTAGTTATTTTGAAATATATCATAGATTGTTGTAACCAGTAGTCACCCTACTGTGCTATAGAAAGTCAGAATGAATTCTTCTCTGTTTTGGGGCTGCTTGTCTGACTCGTTTCCATCTCCCATCTCCCGCTGCCTGTCCCAGTCTCTGGCAACCACTATTTCACTCTGATCTTCTAGAAGATCAGTTTTTTAGTTTCCACAAATGTGTAAGAAATAGGAAAATCAGTTTTATTTTTTTTTGAGGAAAATCAGTTTTATAGAATTCAAAACATAGGTTTCCTGGACTGAGTAAATTCATTATTTGCTTCTGTATTTTCAAATAGTGATATTTGTATCCCCTACACGGTACTTCGTGGCCAGGGTCTGGGGCCTGAGTAGGGTGATGGGAGATGAAGAAAACAAGAGGGAATGAAAGCGGGACCGGGCGGAGCCTCCCCGCCTGTTGAGCAGAGAACACCGCAGCCTGTGTGTTATTTTATTTAAGGCATGAGGAGGGGAAGCATAAACAAGGAGATGGAACAGGGTGTCTTTGGTAATTTGTTGTTTTAATATATATTTCGAGACTAGCTGACTGATAAGGTTGATGGGAAGAGGGAGAGGCAAGCCTGTTGTTTTTAGGACTATGTCAACTAGGACTATAATAAACAGAGTATATACTCTAGGCTATCTATTTTAACAAAATAAATCGAGACACACACAGAAAAAGTCACAAAATATAAAAAACAAACAAAATGCCTCTTGATCATGGCCTGATCTTGAGCCGGCTCCCAATACCCTACCTCAGAATTTGGGTGGAATTTGGGAAGAGAGAACTCTCCTTGGAGACCCTAGTCTCTAAGATGGCCTTTCAGTGATCCCGACTTCTTGGTTTTCATACCCTGTCTGGTCTTCTGCCATGTTACCAGGGGCAGTCTGTGTGGCCAAGAGAGTATGAGAGAAGTTATTGTATGTTATTTCCTTCGATGTTATTTCCCAGAGCAGTTTATAAAAGACCTCATAGCTTCTCTCTGTCTATGTTTTTATCTCTGTTTTTGGAATATTGTGTTATATCTTCTAGGGGGAAACCAGCTGCATGTCATGAGAAGCCCTAAGGAGAGGCCCATGTAGTAAAGAACTGAGCCTACTGGCAACAGCTAGTGTCAACTTGCTGGTCATGTCAGTGTGCCACTGTGGAAACAGATCTTCTGGTCCAGGTCAAAGCTGAGACTGAATTCCCAGCTAACATCATGACTTATGAGAGACCACAAATCACATCATCAGCTAAGTCACCCCTTATCTCTGTGAGATAATAAATGTTTGCTATTGTAAGCTGCTAAATCTTGGGAAATTGCTACAATGTGGATAAAGGTCCTTTAAAGTCCCCTGTGTCGAAAGCTTGGTCATCAGCCTGTGTTATTGGGAGGTGGTAGAACCTTTAGGAGGTGTGGCCTCATGGAAGGAAGTTATGTCTTGAAGAGGATATTGGGACTGTGTCCCCTTCCATGGACTGAAACCTCTGAAACTTGAGCCAAAATAAACCTTTCCTCTTATAAGTTGATTAATTTGTCACAGTGATGAAAAGCTGGCTATCACAAGTAATTTGTTATGCAGCAATAATTAATATAAAGTCAATAGAAATTCGAGGTTTTATCAGTGATAATTTTATATTGGTGAGTCAGCTTTATTTTAGAGTCTAAGAAGGAATTTCTGAAACAATGTATGGGCTTTAAATTTTCTAGACACTGGCTCCCATTCAGTCTGTGAATGTAGAAAGACAGAAGTAGAGGAGTTCATATAAAATGTCTGCAAAAAAGATTTTTCTGCAGAAGGATAGGGGGAACTTCAACTATCTTGCTTATTGCAACATCCTCAATGTCTACCACAGAGCTTGGCAATAGGAGACTCCCTACAAATCCTTCTTTAATAAATGAATGAATGGTGAACTGTAACCTTGACTGAGCCATTCACTTATCTGTTCAACCATCATTTATTAAGCTCCTACCATGTGTCAGGTTCGTTGCTCAGACTCATGGGCCATTTGTGTCATATATAAAGTCACTTCTACCTTTCACCTTCACTGTACCTTCCCTCACTGTTCTCTCCTTGGTATTTCTTTGTTATTTTTGTTGAGATTTGCATATTCTTTAGCTTCTACATTGAACACTTTTTCTTAAGAATAGTGTTCTTAGGTCATCATGACAACTAATCTCTGTTCATCATTTTTCCAATATGAGAACAAGAGTTGCTCAGGAAATTGGGTTTATTTTGTCCAATTTTGGCTCAAGGGCTGCTCCCCTGCCTTTTTTTCTTTTTGCTGAAAAATCACTTGAAATGGCAGGTGTTAAGTAATAACAGTTCAGTTGGCCTGTGATGACAACTTTCTAGAGTCTATACTCTGCTTTTCATATTGACTTTGGTGCTGATTTTAACCAGATTTTAGTGTATTAGAAACATTCTGGAGGTGAAGGAGAATAAAACAGAGTGATTTGCTTCAGACCTTCTGTCCCCTGTGTTTGTAAAACACTCCTTTCTCCTTGGCTTGCTCTGCAGTACTTCATCCTCCTGCCCCCCCCACCATTATCACCCCTCAGTTATCACTTATTGATGATAAGTTGATCAATATGTTATCACTTATTGATGGGGACTACATGGCCATCACTGAATTACAGAAGTGTTATGTGCATTATCTGCACTAGGGACTGTGAACTGCCTTGTCAATTTTGCTGGTCCAGGTATTTTGAGATACAGATGCCAAGATGAGATTATTATGCAAGTATTTTACTAGGAGAGATCACTGTGTGGAAGGAAATGGAGAGGAAGCTAATGAAGGCCAGGAGAGCCATCAGCTCCAGTGAGGGTTGTGGGAGGGGTTGAGTGGTTAGCATTCAGATTGCCCTTTAGCCTAAGGAAGATGCAGAATAATAAAGTTCTGCAAAGCAGTCGGACAGTCAGTCCTTGAGCCAGTCCACCATCTTATCTCTCAAGATCAAGTCCAACTTTGTACCCTATTACACTTAGCCATTGGTGGTGCCTCCCTCTGGGAAGTGTGGCCAATGGATTTCAAAGAACAGAAACTGTAATTCTCAGCTCCCAGCAGTAAGAGGTCTGCAGAGATGCATTTTTATGGCTACAACATCAATATTTATTGTCCTTTCTTTGTAAATAACTGAAGTTTGGTTTGAGGAGGCAGAGACCTGATGTTTAAATAAAAGATTGAGTTCCTCAGTTTCCTTGAACTAGTTGTGGCCCTGTGATCAAGTTCTGGTCAATGCAATATGAGCAAGAAGTGTTATAAGGACCTTTAGAAACCTTAAAAGGATCTGATTCTTCTGGGAGGTGCATTCCCTCTTCTCTTCCTTTAGTCAGAACAATAGACACAGTGGCTGCAGCCTGAGTAGCCATTTTATGTCACGAGGTGATATGTTAATAATGAAAAGGCAGCTGGGGATTTAGCTCAGTGGTTCTGTCTCCTGGCTCACAAGTACAAGGTCCTAAGTTCGATTCCTCGTACAAAAAAAAAAAAGGCAGGCAGATAGCAAGAATCTTCTTTTCCAATGATTAGAGATCTCATACCAGTTCTGCATTGTTTACCTCTGCCTCTAAACTCATTTGTTTAAGCTACTGTTACCTTGTTTTTGTTATAATCAGGTAAATCTTAATCTAATTGGTATAGTATCTAATCTAAACAGTGGCCCTATTTATGCCCATTTTATGAATCTTAGAATGATTGTAAGAATCCAAATTAGAGTCCAGGATGGCACTTAGGATATTCTTAGCTGGAAATGACAAAACAGTGTTGCTTAATCTTCAGTGAAGATAAGAATTAACCTGGGAAACTTGCTAAATACACAGAGTGCCAGGCTTCTCCCCTGGAAATGCTCATTCATTAGGTCCAGGCTGAGGCAAGGGAAACTTCTTTCTCTCAAATAACCAGTCAGGGACTTTTTTTTTTCATCTTCAGGGAAGAGTATGAATCCCAACATGTGTGAAGACCAATGACAGGTAGTTCAGAGTAAAGAGGTAAATACTTAGCCTAAGAAAACTTCTGTGAACATGGGAACCATTTATGGAATTAAATTTAATCATTTATGGAGCTTGCAGAGTCTGGGCTCCAATTTTCATTAAAAAAGCAAGTACATCTTTTGCATATTACAAAGCTTCCCACATGTTCCTGATGGCTCTGATTCATATAGTTCATCTTGTAAGATTCTGGCTTCATAGTTAGGAAGGAGCTTAGGTGTGAATAGGGTGAACCTGGCTGTGCACCTTGATGCTCTCATTTATTTTCTGGATAGCTTGTAACAGGCTAATTAAGCAGTTTGTATCTCAATTTTCATCATTTCAAGTTGAAGAAAATAATAAGGCCTACCTCACAGGGTTGTTGTGGGGATTAAATGAGAATTTATGTAAAGCTCTTAGCTTTAATGTCTTTGCATAAATAGCCTATTAATAAATGGCTATTGTTATTATCATACTGTATGCATACATCTTGCAAACAGTGTGGGCAGAGAGTTCTATTTCTGTGGATAATTTATACAAATCCCCAGGGCACCACCATTCAGTGGAGGCTGGTGCAGGGAGCTGGGCTCACCTTTCTCTTGCCAGCCGCTTCTGGCTCTGACAGTGAGTGACCTGCTTGTGAATGGAGAAATTGACTGAAGGTCTTCTACGACTTACTCCTAGTTTTCCCAGCTGCCACTTTCTACCTCACCGTTCTCTCTCCTCCTTCTCCACCGGTTTGCCTAAGGGTTAGCTGTATTCAATAGCTCCATTCTCATTTCCTATTTTCTTCTCAACCCATTACAATCTGGAGTTTGCTGTCACTGCTTTCCTGAAGTGATTCTCACCAAGGTCACCAGTGGTTTCTTCATTGCCAAATCTAGTGGGTATCTTAAATTTCACATCTCATTTGCTTGCTCCGGAGCTTTGATGCTATTACCTGCTTATTCTTTCTTCGAATTTTGTTCTCTTTGCTTCCAGGACTCCACTGTTTCTCCTTCTAAATCTGTGATCACTTCCCTTAGCTTTTGTTCCTATACAGTATCTATACCTATACCACCATCCTATACAGCTCTGTTTTCTATTTTTTATTGTTTTTTGAGTCTTGCTATGTAGCCCAGGGTGGACTCGAATTCGTGATCTGTCTGCCTCAGCCTCCCAAGTACAGGGATTACAGGCCTGTGTTACCATGCCCAAATGACTTGTTCTCTACTCTTTTAGTTCTTCATTTCCCCTAGTTCCTTTTTGTCATTTTTTCCCTTCCTCTGACCATCTAAATTTCAGGTGAATTATCACCTTTCTTGGGATAAGTGGTCCTAATGCAACTTTTTTCTTTCTTTTTTTTTTTTGGTACCAGAGATCGAACTCAAGACCTTGTGCTTGTGAGGCAGGTGCGGCACCACTGAGATACATCCTCAGAACTTTTTTCTTTTTTTCCTCAGTATGTTCCATTGTCTCCCTTACAGATCTTCACAGGAGGCCTGGCAACACCCATGGAAATAGGACTTGGATTTCTTGTGGACCAGGGGTCAGGATGACCGTCAGATATCTGTAATTGTACTGTTATAGGAGACAGTCACTCCATCCATGCCTAGAGCTAGGTTCTAAGACTATGTCTAAGACATTGCTTCACTGATGCCTAGTATCTTTCAGAGATATTGGTTGACTTGGAAACTTGCTTTTACTCTCAACTTGCATTTTCTCATTGATGAAATGTAAGAGTTGCCCTAGGTATCGTGGAAGTTGCTCCTAACTTTCTGGAACCCTCACAATTAGCTTTTCCATGACTTGCCTAATGCTTGATTCCACTCCTAGGATTTGTCTTACAGAAACATCTTCCAAGTAAGTGCATAAAGATGTAGGTGTATGAGCGAATGTAGGAACCCAAGTGCTCATCAAGAGGGGAGTGGTTAAACAAGTTAGGGTAGTTGTCTGTGCCTGTGTTGCTCTGAGAAGACAATCTACTGTTTGTTCCTCATCTACTAGCAAATAAAGGTCTTGAGCCAGAGTGCAAATCAATGACTTTACCAAGAGAGTCTTACTGAAAAAACAAAAACAAACAAAAAATCTCAGCCAAAGAACACCAACAATCAGTTTAGATACATAGTTGATACTCATTCACACACAAACTCCTCCTTATATTTATCAGACCAGTAACAAACTGTTCATGGGCCAGCACTGGCATGCGGACCACTTGAATAGCATTGCTGAAGCTTAAAAAGGAGGTATCTCTACGTGTACGGATGTAAAAAGATACTTAAGACCCTTAATCAATTTTAGGTTGCCATACCAAAATATCTGAGAATGGTGATTTATAAAGAATAGAAATTTATTTGGTTTATGGTTTTGGAGGCTAGGAAGTCCAAGAGCGTGGTGCTAGCATCTGCTTAGCGTCTGAGGAGAGAATTGCTGGCAGAGGGTATTACATGATAAGACAGAGCAAGCATGCTAGCTTAGGTCTTTCTACCTCTTTTATAAAGCCACTAATGCTACTGTGAGGATTTTGCTTCATCCTTATGATCTCAATTAAGCCTACTATTACACCCTAAAGACCTCATC